GATTACGGAGGAGGGGGCATCCGTTTTGATGGCGTTTTTACACGCGTGCGACAGGGACACACGGTATCCAGCGTGGAGCACGGCTGACCTGAGGGGAGAGGAGCGGTCAGTCACTTTATAGCACTGTTTAAAACAGTATATAGTATTATTACTTAATAGTTAATAATCCAAGTTAGAGATGCAGTAAAGCTCCTCTACACTGTGTCCCCCCACTCCCAGGTCAGGGTTACAGACACAGTAAAGCTCCCTCTGCTCCGCTGTGGAGGGTCTCACCTCATCTGTAGGAGGGAAGGTGTGTTGGAGCGAATGACGCTGCTCAGGTGATCCATGGTGTAGTAGAGAGGACAGTCAGGTAACTCCTAGCGGGAGACAGAACAAACGGGGCTCAGAGTGAGTGACCGAGCTTCAGCCTGGCTCAGTCTGTTCAGATATACTTCCCTCCTGCACCCCCCCCCCCACCCCCACTCGCCCTCACCCTCTCTGTGATCCCAACCCCCAACTCAGGTGCAAAACCCCTCATTGTCCAGCGCCTTAGGATGTCCTCCCGATGCGAAAGGCGCTGTGTAAATGTAATGTGTTGTTGTTGAAGGTAAATATTAATGGAGGGGTTCTGTGTGTGTGTGTGTGAGAGAGGGGGGGAGGAGGGGGTAAAACTTGGTGGCTCACGTGGAGAAACATACCAGTGATTATTATTAATAATAACTATAATAATAATTGCAATCGGCTGCCGCGTTTCACCCACAAAACACACAGTCACTACACTTTACAGTGTATCCTGTGAAGCGCTTTGAGACGTCTCGAAGACGTGATGAGGCGTGGGGTCGAATGCCAGTATTATTATTATGAATGCTCTGTATCCCCCCCACCTCACCGCACCCCCCACCCGCCCCCGCCCCCCCCCTCACCTCCATCACCATGCTCAGTATTCCCACTATCCGGTCGGACGTCTTGTATCCCTGTGGATTGCGCTCCACCGTCTCCAGGACTGTCCGGATGAAATCGGGGGAATGCATCTGCTCAGCCCAGATCGGGCCTCCGAGCTGTCGGGGGGGAGGGACAGGGGGACGATGACACACGGAGATAAACCACTGACACACGCACCCCCTCAATCGCTCACTCACTCACCCCCCCCACCTCGTCAGCCCCCCCCCCCCCCCCCCCCCCACAGCCCAGCAACCAACAAACACACCCACCTCAAACCCAACTTCCCTTAAAAAACACACACCAGCCCCCCCCCACCCCCAAAATTTCCCCCTTACTTGCTCTCTCCCCCCCCCCTCCCCCCCCCCCCCCATTACTTGGTGTCTTTCGTGTGTTTCCTAGATGTCTCGTCCTCTCCCCGCACCCCCCCCCCCCCCCCACCCTACCCCCACACCTCTGTTACCTGGTGACGTTGCTGGCAGTGCTCACACTCAGCTGCCACTGGGGGTCCTGTGGCTGCAGTGAACTTGTGGCTGAGAGAAACCAGAAGATCCTGCATCATATTATTATTATTACACCCCACCCCCAGCCCTGCCAGGCTCCCCCACAACCCCAACCCCAACCCACTACCCGCTGTCTCCGCTCGGCCAGCTCCGGCGTCCCGCTCTGTCCGTCCTCCGCTCCACCCTCGGTGGCTGTGCCTTCAGCTGCTGCACGACTCCCCGAAACTCTGTCACTCTCTCCCTCTACCCCTCCCTCGCCCCCCACTTGCCCCTTCTTTCCTTCCTTCCTCCCCATTTTCAGGTCACGCCCAAAGACCTTCCTCTTCGACCTATGGTGCCTATGGGCACCTGCCCCCCCCCCCCATGGCTCGGAGTCGGGCTCCGCCATTGTCAAGTGCTCCGGGACACTACCCTGCGTGAGGGAGTGTGTGAGTGAGTGAACGAACGAGGGGAGGGAGGGGAGCTGTGTAAACGTGGGGAGGGGGAACGTGGAGGTTAACCCTTCGGGGGAAAGCCACTCACTTCTGGCCGTGTAGAAAAGCCTTTCCCATTCGCTGCATGTGAAACGTCCCACAGCCCACACAGTGATACACCAGGGCCTGCTTACTGCAAGAGAAAGGTCTGGTTACCCACAGCCCGGAGCCCCCCCTGCCACCCCCCCCCCCACACCCACTCATTCACTCCCCACCCGCGAGGAGGAGTGGATCGTACCTGGCGGAGCTCTTGACCTTGGCCTGTCCCGTGAACACCCGGACAAACACCCTGATGTAGAAATCGGCGCTGACCGACAGCAGAGGCTCGATGTAGCGTTGGTAACAGTTGGCTCGCAGGTCCAGGCTGTGCAAGATTATCCTCAGAGCCTTCGGGGAGGAGAGAGAGAGGGAGAGACTCGGTAAGTCACGGCTTGAGCCTGTATCTCAGTGGTTACAGCACTCGCTTTGCAAGCGAGAGACCTGGGTTCGATTCCCGGCAGGTCAGGGCGAGACCTTGGGCAAGTTTCCTTACTTTACTCCACACGTCTATTAATAATCCCTCCAAAACAATAATAAATTGGTCGTTCTCAATCCACGGCTGTTTGTGGGACAGACGCTGCTGTGCGCAATCGGCTGCCGCGTTTCGCCCACAAATATACAGTCAATTCACTTTACGGTCTATTCTGTGAAGCGCTTTGAGACGTCGAGAAGATGTGATAAGGCGCTGTATCAAATGCCAGGATTATTATTATTATTATTATTATTATCCTGTCCAGCGCTTACAAACACCGCAGAGCCTCTCGGGTTGTTTCGTTGCTGTTAAATCCTTGTGTTTGATCACCTGAGCCACAGCAAACCTGACTTTGTTTCGAGCTGTGCCCCTTGTCACCAACACAGGTCTTGCTGCTGTTTGCAGACCCTTCTGGGTTCCCCAGTGTTTGCTCGGGCTCCGTCCCCCGCCCCGCCCTGTCCAGCCACACCATCGGTTGAGCCTTCAGCCTCTCTGCTCTCCAGCCTCTGGAACTCCATCCCACAGTCCCTCCGCCCTCCTCGCCCCTTCCCTCCCTCGCTTCAAAACCCTCCTCTTCGACCTACTGCGCCTTTGGTCACCCATCTACCACCCCCCCACCCTCCCTTTCACCCCTCACCACCCCCACCCCGTCAATGTAATGTGTTGTTGTCGTCGGGAGGACGTCTCAAAGCACTTCACAGGATTTTACCGGGAAGCGTAGTGACTGTGCGTGTGGTTTGTCTCCCCCGATCGGAGCTTGGTTTGATGTTCTCCCCAAGAGGACCTGGGATGTTTTTTTTGTGACTCTCACCATTTCGTGACAGAACTTGGACTTGATGGACATGGCTCCGTATTTACTGTAACACGTCTCCCCACTGTTCCCAGCCATCACTGCCATGTCTGTACACGTCACACACAGCAGCCCTGAGAGTGAGAGAGAGAGAGTGAGACACAGAGAGAGAGAGGCAGAGACGGAGAGAGTGAGACACAGAGAGAGAGTGAGACAAGAGAGAGATACAGAGAGAGAGGCAGAGACAGAGAGTGTGAGACACAGAGAGAGAGGCAGAGACAGAGAGAGTGAGACACAGAGAGAGAGGCAGAGACAGAGAGAGTGAGACACAGAGAGAGAGAGAGAGGTAGTGTGTTTATTCAGTTTCCCCATCTCCTCCCGCACCACCCCCTATAATAATAATAATAATCCTGGCATTTGAAATGAACAAACGGCACTTTTTTTTGCTTCCACTGCCTGTCTGTCTCCCTGGGGAGCCTGTTCCATAGTTTACTACTGACTCACTGAAGTAGTGTTCCCGTAGATTTGTTCAGAATTGCCCCCCCACCTCTGGTTCTACTGTTCAATCCAAGATAAAACAGCTCATCAATCGGTCTATGGTATCCAGTCCTTCAGAATCTTAAAGGCTGTCATTATTTCGCCCCTCAACCTTCTCTTCTCCAGATTAACGTTGCTGATTAAGCCGCGCTCTCACCTCCCTCGCTCACCGCCTGCACAGCCGCGTCGATAAACGGTGCCGGGCTGCCGTAAGGATCCAGGTCAATCACATCAAACCGGTGCTCACTACGCTTCGATTGGTGGATGAGCAAACTGATGGGAGGAGAGAGAGAGAACAGAGAGTGAGAGGGAGAGAGAGACAGAGAAAGTAAGAGCGAGAGAGAGTCAGCGTCAGAATCCGCAGGTATCTTTAATATGTAAAATAATAATAATCCTTGCCTTTGACGCAGCGCCTTAGCACGTCATTGAAACATCTCAAAGCGCTTCATGGGATAATATTATCGAGTGTAGTGACCGGGTATGTTGTGAGCAAAACTTGGCAGCCAATTGCGCGCAGCAGTGTCCATTTTTGGAGGGGTTATTACTCCCCGGAAAACGATCTCCCAATCGTTCCTACTTACAGCCGGCAAACAGAGGTGTGCGCGTGTGCGTGTGTGTGGAGTAATGCAACTTGGCCTAAGGTTTCGCCCCGATCCAACCTGTCCTGGAATCGAACCCGGGTCCTCTCGCTTGCTGGCAAGGCGAGGGCTCTGATCACTGCGCTACGGGAACTGAAGGCTACTTCATACCTGGCGTCGGCCAGGCTCGGGGTCACCAGATGCTCCACGTTGTTGAACTCGATGTTTCTCTTGATCATCTCCACGGCTCTGAAGGAGAAGTCGTTGGCCACGACACTGTGAATCCCGGGCACCTCCTTGGCGAAGCGGATAGATCGCAGCCCAGAGGCAGCCAATCCCTCCAGCACCCGCAGGCCCTCCTACAGCAGAGGAGAGAGAGCGAGGCTTCTACCCAACGACGACGACAACAACGACAGCTTCTGTTTGTCTATAATCCTGGCCTTTGATACAGCGCCTCATCACGTCGCTGAGACGTCTCAAAACGCTTCACAGGATACACTGGAAAGTGAATTGACTGTGTGCTATTTCTTGGGCGAAACGCGGCAGTAAACTGCGGACAGCAGTGTCGCTACAAACAGCCGTGGATTGAAATGTCCAATTTATTGGTTTCTCTTTAAGGAATTATTAAACCTTGGAAAAGCGATCCACCAATCAACTGACAAGCGGGTTCCTACTGACAGCTGGTGCGTGTGTGTGTGTGTGTGTGCGTGTGTGTGTGGGTGTGGAGTAAGGAAACTTGCCCAACCTTTTGCCCTGACCCGCCCGGGAATCAAACCCAGATCCTCTTGCTTTCAAGGTGAGGGCTCTAACCACCGAGCTACAAGACACCGATATATAGTTCCCCTTACACAGGGCCTAGTCTAACACTGTGCTCTCTCCCCCCAGCACTGTGCTGGAGCGTCAGCTCAAAGTCCCTCCCACCCTCTCCCCTCCCAGAGGCGAGAGTGAGACCTGGCATTTCTCCCCCGGCCTGGCGAGTTCTCTCGGTGACTGCTGGTCTCCCCGGTCGGTCTCGGCGCCCGACAGCTCGCCCTCGCTCTCGCTCAACTTGACCACCATCTTCTCCGACTCGCCGAGGGACAGCACTGCGCAAAGACGGCAAGGCTGGTAAACGGGACACTTAAAGCCCACGGGGGCCCGAGACACAGCGGCTGAACGAACTCGGTCTCACCTCCGATCCCCTTCGCCGCTAACCTCTGCCGGGCAAACTGTGTGATGACGGCACACCTGAGAGTCAGAGAGAGAGAGAGAGAAAAGCCATCACATAATCATAATAATAATAACAAGCCTCATGTTTGACACAGCACCTTATCACATCTTCGAGACGTCTCAAAGCGCTTCACAGGGTACGCTGCAAAATGTAGTGACTGTGTATTTTGGTGGGCGAAACGCAGCAGCCAATTGCGCCCAGCAACGTCCCCACAAACAGCCGTGAGGTGAGCGATCGATTTTTCTTCATTTTTTTGAAGGAGGGATTATTACCCTCGGAAAAGCGAGCCACACATCAACTGATAACCGGGTTCTTGCTTACTGCTAGTTAAACAGATCGCAACTCTCAAAGCTTCAAACCCTTGAACGTTCCAGCGCCTTGGGACGTCCTCCCACCATGAAAAGCGCTGCGCAAATGCAATTTGTAGTTGTTGTTGTTAAAAGAATCTTCAATTTCTCTCTGTCTGCGGCAGACTCTCTTACCCTCACCGCAAATGACTCTCTTACCCTCACGATCTCAGATGTATTTCGTTAATGATCTCCAGGATGACAACACAAGTACTCACGTCAGATCTCGATTAAACTCCTGCACGGGATTGTAGAAGACTTCGTTGGCACTCGGGAATATGATGCGAGCTTTTCCCTCCTGAATAACGGCTTCTACGTTGGTAACCGCCGGGCAATCTGTGTCACTGAGTGAGGCCACACACTCGGCTTGCTCCTGGACTGACTTCAGGCTCCGACCTCCACCGTTCATCTCGCTCTCTGGCTCTGCCTTTGTCGTCCCCGTTTCCATTTCCACCGCGGAGTGTTTCGGGGGTGTGCAGTGAAGAAGACGCCCCACAGCTCTCACCGTGTTCACGCTGCAGAGCACAGAGGGTCTGATCAGGAGCCGGCCTGGGGCTTGCATCGACTGAGAATCCCACTTATTTACAAATCAGCAGGTCCTGGAGAAAGTCAGGAAAAGGGAGTTAGAACAAGAACGTGGCAATAAACACAAAGAGACTAAATATGATTAGAAACTGCTCACAACAAAGAATCCTCTCTCTATTCCCTGGTACTTATCCAAATCCACTCTTGTTTTGCTCAGCATTTGATATCGCTGTTAAGACATCTGAAAGCACTTATAATAATAATCCTCGGCCTTATCACATCTCCGAGACGTCTCAAAGCGAGTGGAGGGAAGTGACTGAAGAGTGACTGAGTGAGTGAGAGAGGGAGTGAGAGAGGAGTGAGAGAGAGAGAGGGAGGGAGTGTGAGAGAGAGGGAGTGAGTGAGAGAGAGGGAGTGAGAGAGAGGGAGTGAGAGAGAGAGAGTGAGTGAGAGAGAGGGAGTGAGAGAGGAGTGAGAGAGAGGGAGGGAGGGAGGGAGTGAGTGAGAGGGAGGGAGTGAGAGAGGAGTGAGAGAGGAGAGAGAGAGAGGGAGGGAGGGAGGGAGTGAGAGAGGAGTGAGAGAGAGAGGGAGGGAGTGAGAGAGGGAGTGAGAGAGAGGGAGGGAGTGAGAGAGGGAGGAAGGGAGTGAAAGAGAGGAGTGAGAGAGGGAGGGAGTGAGAGAGAGGAGTGAGAGAGGGAGAGAGAGTGACTGAGGGAGAGAGAGTGACTGAGGGAGAGAGAGAGAGAGGGAGAGAGAGAGGGGGGGGAGGGAGGGCGGCGAGAAGGCTCCTCACAATCTCCTCCCCTGAGGGTTGCTCAGCAGCAGCTGTTGGAGCCTCACACTCTGGGCGCCGCCATCTTGCCTTCGCTCCCGCGTGACGTCAGCACGCGCGCCACCCGGTCGGGTCGCGCGGTCGCGGTGACGTGACGTTGGGTGCGGGTGGTGACGTCAGCGCGCGTTGTACGTCGGGTATCTGACGCCATGGCGCTGGCTGGCGGTGACGTCGGCGCCTGGTCCTGGCGGGGTGGTGAGTGGGGGGGGGGGGGGGGGCACGGTGACGTCATCGCGCGGCACGTCGGGAGTGTGACGCCATGACGCTGGCGGGCCGGCGGCGGGAGGGCGGTTGCTAGGCGCTGGCGATGAATGGCGGCGGCTGCTAGTGCGAGGCTCGGGGAGCGGCCTCAGAGCGGTGAGTGTGAGCGGAGGGGAGGCCGCCCCGGGGAGGGAGGCGGCGAGGGGAGCGGGAGAGGCGGGGAGGCCAGGCCCAGGCCTGTCCCCGGCCCCTACAGCGGCAGCAGCCGCCTAGGCCTCAAAGCCTCGGCCTCGCGTGATCCACTTGGCCGGCGGCCCTGGACTGTGTGTGGCCCCGACCCACAGGCCCAGAGGCCGGCGGAGGGGAGAGCGGCTAAAGCTCAGGGCCTCAGGGGGGGAGGAGGAAGGGGGTCCCGGGGACACACACTCCCTCCCTGTCCCTGGGGGTCCCTGAAGAGGAGAGGAGGCCTCGGCTCCTGCCCCCCGGACAGGGGAAGGCTCAGGGGCCGCAGGAGCCACGGGAGGAGGAGACTTCCATCAAGTTTTTAATCCCCTCCTTTTTCCTCCCATCCCAACCCCAAAAGCAGCAGAGGAACAGGAGGAGGCCATTCAGCCCCTCCAGCCTGTTCTGCCGTTCCACTGGATGGTGACTGATCTGTCCCCCCCCTCCCCCCCCCCCGCGGCTCCCTCCCTCCCTCTGCAATAACCAGCCCAGGACCATCATCATCATCATCATCATAATAATAATTACGCTGTTGAGGCGCCGTAAAGCTCTTCGCTCGGTTACACTGTAAAGTGGAGTGACTGTGTATTTTGCGGGCGAGACGAAATAGGAACAGGAGGAGGCCATTCAGCCCCTCGAGCCTGCTCCGCCATTCCGTGAGAGGTCGCGGCTGACCTGCACCTCGAGTCCGGCTTTGCCACATATCCCCTCGATCCCCCGACCCTGACAGACACCTCATACACCGCAGTCTGGGCAGTGCGGACGGATACGGCCATAACCCACAGCCTTTCGGGGGGACGGAGAGAGAGAGAGAGAGAGAGAGGAGAGAGAGAAGGAGAGAGAGAGAGAGTGAGAGTTCCAGAAATGAACGGATGAAACGCACCGAGAGCCGCGTCTGAAAGGTGGAAGTGATCGAATGGCTGGAATCCAGACACTTGGTGCAGACGCGATGAATCATCCTCCGTCCGTAATAGCAACGATGACGACCGATGAGAGCGCTCGAATGTGGTCGCGACGTCTCAAAAGGCGCTGCGCACGGGATTCCGCTGCCCCCGTGTAGCAAGTGACCACGATTGGAGGCAGCGGAGAGCGCTCCCCTCTTTCTCTCCCCCTCCCCATTTAAAATCTGACAGCCGTGGGAGTCCTGCAGCTCAGTGGTTAGAGCGCTCGCCTTGCAGGTGAGAGACCTGGGTTTGATTCCCGATACGTTGGGCAAGTTTCCTAACTCAACGCGCCAGTTTACCCCAGAAGTAAGTAGGACCCCGGCTGTTGGTCACTTTTCCCGGGAGTAATAATTCCTTCCAAAAAAAATAATAATTCGGTTATTTAATCCACGGCTGTTTGTGGGGACGCCGCTGTGCGCAATTGGCCGCCGCGTTTCGCCCACAAAGTACACGGTCACTGCACTTTACAGTGTGTTCTGTGAAGCGCTTTGAGACGGCTCGAGGACATGATACGACGCTGTATCAAATGCCAGGATTATTATTATTCTATATATATCTTGCCATGTTCAAATCAAACTGACTGCCCACAGACCCACTGACCAAGTGACTGACTGACCCCACTTGACAGCAATTGCCTGGGAAGCGCTTTGAGCTGACTCGGTGCTGTATTAACATGCGCAGTTGTTTATTGTAACTAAAATGCCGTCGAAACAAAAAAAAAAGCCTGAGAACGTGCTGTGGATTTATTTTGCTTAATTGCATTGCGATTCCCCCAACCGCCCCCCCTTCCCCCCCCCCCCCCCACACACACACACACACTCACATCCTCGCAAGATCTCTGCAGTGCTTTTTTTTGTGGACCGTTTGCACTCTCCACCTTTCCTGGGCTACCGCTCCACAAGCTCTCGCCACCCCCTGGGAACCTTGGTATAGTGAGTCTGATATGTTTATTGGAAGTGAGGGGATGGGGATCGGTGGGAGAGAGGAGAGAGAGAGAGAGAGAGAGCAGTCAGAGCCAAGCTTGTCTGGCGTGTCCTCACCCGACCTCCACTCAGTCAGTGGATAGCGATGTGGATCGAGGAGTCACTGCAGCAAAGAGAGCCCTGTGTGTTGCTGTGAGCAGCTCAATGGCGTCTTATCACACCCGACACTTTTAACTCTTTCATCGCGGCAAAGTTACTAACTTGCTCACCACAACTCGCATTTGTCCAGCGTTCTTCGCGCCGGGCGGCAGTCCCCGAGAGCTACAGATTTTGAAAGATATATATTTCTTTCAAAAAAAAAAAAAAAAATTTTTTATGTTAATAACATATCTTGCCGCGTTTCGCCCACAAAATACACAGTCAGTTCTCTTTACAACATGTCCTGTGAAGCGCTTTGAGACGTCTCGACGACGTGATGAGGCGGTATATCAAATGCAAGGATTGTTATTATTACTATTACTATTCTCTCTCTCTCTCTCGTTTCTCTCTCCCTCCCAGCAGGTAGAGCAGTTTGCTGAGCAGACACCATGGCTCAGTCTCTGCAGATGGAGATTCCGAACTTTGGGAACAATATCCTGGAGTGCCTGAACGAGCAGCGGCTACAGGGGCTGTACTGTGATGTGTCCATCGTGGTCAAAGGCCAGGCCTTCAAGGCCCACCGGGCTGTGCTGGCCGCCAGCAGCTCCTACTTCCGAGACCTCTTCACTGCCAACAACTGCGTGAGCTTTGAGCTCCCGGCGGCCGTGCAGCCCCAATCCTTCCAGCAGATCCTCTCCTTCTGCTACACGGGGCGCCTGAGCATGAACGTGGGGGACCAGTTCCTGCTCATGTACACGGCCGGCTTCCTGCAGATCCAGCAGATCATGGATAAGGAGACAGAGTTCTGCCTGAAGGTCAGCTCTCCGCACTGCGACTCGCAGGGTCTGCACGGTGACGACACGCCTTCTGAGCCCCCCAGCCCGGCCCAGGCCAGCCGCTCGCTCTCCGCCACCCCCCTCTCGCTCGTGTCGCGGGTCAAGACGGAACAGACCGAGACGGACTCCGGCCACTTTACACCCCATCGGCAAGAGGCTGTGGGAGAACGGGCCCAGGGAATGGAACGGTGGCACGGTCTCGAAGATGGCCAGGGTCTCGCACAGTGCCACGTCCGCCCGGCAGGGCTGTGCTGCCGGGGGTCCGGGGGGCTCGGACCGCACCAGCCCCGGCACGGCGAGCGCCTACACCAACGACAGCCCCAACTCCTACCAGAACGAGGAGGACGAGGAGGAGGAAGGCAGCGAGGATATCGTGGAGGAGCACTACCGGCAGATCTGTAACATGTACACCATGTACAGTATGATGAACGTGGGCCAGCCAGGTACGCGAGACTGAGAGAGAGAGACAGACAGAGAGACAGACAGATAAAGAGAGTGAGAGACAGACAGACAGATAGAGAGAGTGAGAGACAGACAGAGAGACAGAGCTGTGGTCCTGTGGCGTAGTGGTTAGATTCACACAAGCCAAACACTTGATCGCAAGTAATATTGGGAATAACCAGTCAACGTCCCACCACACACAGCGACTGACGGCAGATAAAGGAGGGGATAAAATACAGATTCTCAATGCGGGTCAATAACAATTATTTTCTTTAGGCAGCCGCCATCGTCAATGGGATGGGGGTGTGTGTGTGTGTGTGTGTGGGGTGATTCAGAGTCCTGTAGCGTAGTGGTTAGCGCACTCGCAAACGAGAGGACCCGGGTTCAATTCATTCCCCGGGGGGGGGGGGGGGGGGGGTGAGGAGGGTTAGGTTGGGGCAAAAGGTTAGGCAAGTTTCCTTACTCCACACACAGACGCGCACAGGTCTCTCTGTTTACTTGGCAGCAAGTGGGAACTCGGTTGTTAGTCGATTGGCAGAAGGAATAAAAATGATAACCTGGTCACTCAATCCGCGACTGTGTTTGTGGGGACGTCGCTGGGCGCGACTGGCTGCTGCGTTTCGCCCACAAAGTGCACAGTCACTCCACTTTACAGTACGTTCTGTGAAGCACTTTGAGACCTCTCAGCGATGGGAGCGATGTCAAGTGGAGCGATTTCTTTGAGGTGGTGGTGGGGTTGTGGGGGTCGGGGGGGCTGGGTTTGGGGATTAATAATAATAATATTCCTCGCATGCGACGTCGAGACGTCTCCAAGCGCTTCATGGGATACACTGCAAAGTGTAGTGACTGTGTGTTTTGTGGGCAGCCGATTGCGCACGGCAAGTGCCCCGAGGCCGATGCATTTTTTGCCGCCACCTGCCACCCACCGGCTGATGTTTCTGCGCTGTTGTTGTGCCCGCCAGCGGCAGCGGAGAGAGTGGAGGCTCTGCCCGACCACCTGACCACGGACGCCCGCTCCCGGGTGAGGATGCGGAGGGACCTGGCGGCCCTGCCCGCCGAGCTCATCACCCAGATCGGGAACCGCTGCCACCCCAAACTGTACGCCGAGGGAGACCCCACCGAGAAGTTGGAGCTCGTCACAGGTACCAGAGTGCCTTCTGCTGTTCGTTCAAGAGACAGCAGCTTCTCTCCCCCCCACCCCACCCCCTTATGCTTTTCTTATGTTCCCATCACCGGCTGCTTCTGCTCCCCCGCACTTCCCGGCCCACCATTGGCGGTCGGACCTTCAGCATCTCTGCCCCTACTCTCTGGAACTCTCTCCCGCATTCCCTCCGCCTCACCCACCCCCTCCCTCGCCTCCTTCAAGTCCCGTCCAAAGACCATTCCTCTTCGACCCCCCACTTCCAGCCCTCCTGACCCCAACTCCCAGCTCGGGTCCAAAATCCCCCGACTGTCCTTGTGACGTGAAAGACGCTGTGTACACGTCAGTTGTTGTTGTTGATCTGTGTTCATTCTCTCTCTCTCTCTCTCCCTCTCTCGCTCTCTCTCCTCAGGCACCAGTGTCTTCATCACCCGAGCCCAGTTAATGAACTGCCACGTGTGCGCTGGCACCCGTCACAAGGTGCTGCTCCGGAGGCTGTTGGCCTCCTTCTTTGACCGGTAAGCGACCGAGACTCCCCCCCCCCGCCCTGTCCTGGTAGCATAGTGTTTGGCCTCCTCGCCTCGCAAGCCAGGGGACCCGGGTTCCATTCCCGGGCGTAACCTTGGGCAAGTCTCCTCACATTTTCAAGGTGGAGGCAGATAAATATTTGTTAGGTCTGTGGATACGGGGCAGGGAGGGAATTGGAGTTG